ACTATCCTAAATGCACTTCACGTGGCAGGCGCGGTACTTTGGAGCCCGTAATGCGATATTTCGTGGCAGGCGCAGGACTTGGTCGACTCAGATCGCTGATTCCTTGCGCCTGCCATGCAACTGACAGCCAACACACAGTCAACACACAGTCAACACGACAGTCAACACGGGCACTTTTCCTGAAAATTCTCAATCGAGGCGCTGATTTGGACAGTTGCAGCCCCAACTCCAGTCTTAGAATGGGATTTCTAAGGTTTCCTCACACAACGCACGTTTTGCTTGAGAATTCTCAGGAAAAGCGCTCGTGCTGACTGTCGTCATGACTGTGAGTTGACTGTCAACTGCATGGCAGCTATATAAGCACGGCAACAGTAGATACTGCGAAAAAGACGTGGAGAGGTGGCCCTTAGCATTCACCTTTGTGGGCACAGGTTGTGTTGACTATGGATACACCATGATGCCGATCAACGTTAGCAAAAACATCTCCCCGGGTTCTTCAAAAAACAGCCATCAAGTCAGGGATGAAAAGAATTCTTGAATCCCCCGTATCCCCCCAGCTCAATGTTGCTGATTGGTCTCCTGACATGTACCGACCTGAATGGCTGTTTTTCTTTTGAAGGCCGCTGATACCGAACCTGACCCGACAACATTGAAGTTGGGGTGCAAGGGGTTGAGACGGTGACGTGGAACGACTAGCGATGGCTCCCGGTATTGTTGTTGTGCCGTGCGCATTTTCGGGCTTGTTTTCGTGGCAGGCGCAAGGGAAACCTCGTGTTTTGGTGGTCCATGACAGGTGCAGAAGATCGGAGCGGCTTACCGTCGATGTGTGGATTTCTAGGCAGGCGCAGTACTTTGGACATGATGATGATGGTTGTCTTCGGCGTGCCCTGATTTTGTAGCAGGTGCAGTGAATCAACGGAAGGTTGGCGCGGTCCCTTGGTTGCAGATGTGCTTGGGCCATCACATTGTCTGGCTGGCCGTTCTGCTTGACACTGAGAGTCAGACTGCTGCAGCTACGGTACGCTCACGTAGGAGCCTTGCGTGCGCCCAGTTGCGCAACGCAGGACGCCCAGGGGATGTCCTCCTGTGATTCTATACAAGCAGTGCCTTAGCCGCTCCATCGCACTCAGCTTAATCTGCACACGAGGCGGTGCTCATTTCACGGAGGAGCTCCCAACGCTACATGGCCTTCCTGGTCAAGAATGGTGACAAGGCTGGCCTTGTCGGCGTGCAGTGTCTCATAAGAGTGTCCGCGTGCACGCTGTCATGGCGTCACGTCTACATGCTGCTGCCATCTGGACACCGGCAGCAGATTAACAGGCGAAGAATGCGAAGAACAGGAGGACAAGGTTTGGAGGCTGGCTGAAAGGGTTGGCCAGCGCAGCGCGGCCAGCGGACAACAGCAGGACAACTGCAACCACCAGGAGGACAAGACGAGAAGGACGCAAGAGGACAACAGCAGGAAAACTGCAAGCACCAGGTTGACAAGAGGAGAACAAGAGGAGGACACATGGGTTGGAGGAGGACAAGAGGAGGACACGCCCCGGACACTGCATACAGGGGCGCAGACAGCCACTGTGGCCAGCTCTTTTTCTTAAGAGGGAACCCCAACAGTAAACTGTTTGGGGAAAAATCATTTTGCACTTGGTAGCGCTGCTGCTGTTGCTGTTCCTGGGCTTGCTCCTGCTGCGGCTGCTGCTGCTCCATGCTGCTCCTGCAGCCACCGATCCAATCGAAAACCTCTCTGCCCTGACAGTAGTATTATATATATATATATTGATTTTTGGGATTTGGATTTAAAAGAGCCATGGGAAACAAAGCAATGCCGCAGAGAAGCATCCCTGCGATTGATTATTGTCGATGCAACGAACAAACTCAATCAAGTAATACACGTTTGCTGCATCCTTTGGGGCCCTGGGCCGGGCGGGTGTGTAGCTGAAACGACCCCGACAGGCACGTCACACCATTAATGCCAAAAAATGTTATAACATTGTATATTTCAATTGTTCGTTGTCCACGGCCCCCTGGCATCACTACAAAAAAAATGTTTAATCAATTGATTAATTGCCGTTTTGTTCCACAATCTATCACGCATGTATATCAACGTCCTTTCTGCCAGACTCCTATACATCAGTCAAAACAAAAGGTTTTGTTCCTTGTTCCGACAAAACATCCCGATGTTTGCGTTTTTGATCCGCTGGCCGTGTAACCTGTGTTTCGACCTGTCAACGCTGTCACCATTCGACTGGCTAAGGAAGGGAAACTGGTCGAGAGCAACACTGCGAAGAAGCGTTTCGAACACTTTGTTGAGGCCATCGGCAGCATCACCCCAGTGCGACTCCCGTTGCAGCGCACTTACGAAACAGCGCAGCTGTGCCCAACTGTGCCCTGCTCTGTCCAGCTGTGGAGGTTTGGTGTTGTTTCGATTTAGGGCTCCAAAACTACTTAGGATGGAGTTGGAACCAAAGGCTTTGTCGAATGGCGCAAATGTGGAGAAGGTTTTACCGTGATGATGAACGATCAGAAGATAGCAAGATCAATTGATATCAATTGAGGGATCTTCATGGATGCCCTATATTTTGTTTGGTTAAAACAATTTGGAATTTTTGCAATCGACTGCCAGGACCCAGTAAATATAGCGCAGCAGACACCAGTAGCTGCCATGAAAGAACAACCACAGTTTTGTTTTTCTAATGTCATCGGAAACCACGTGACTGAAATTACATCTTACGGAAGCAGAGTGTGGCCCCCTTCCAAAAGGTGTTTCACAACACCATGATCATTTTGTTCATGGCCTCATTTTCCCATCTTGTTCTCGGACCTGCCGTGCAGGAAGATGAGCTTATGGAGCCCATTATGGCCTCTTGGTTTGGGGTGGGTTTTCTTGGCAACAGCATTTGCAAATAACAAGATGAATTATATGACCCAGTTTGCATGGATGTTCATGCCATATCAGTGGCAAGGAGTGAGTTGAGCGGGGTGGTAACCGCAAACAGCTACTAGTCATTAGCCTGATATCTTCCAACAGTGTTTAAATGGTACAAAACCAGACTTCATTTTGTGTTGACCAGTGCACAGTGTGCAGTCTGAAGGAAAAGAACACGATTCTGTGAAACACTCGATGCTGGCTTTCAACCACGACACATGCAAACAAGCCGTTCAGACTCTTCACGTGGCAACATGATCCCCTACCCAGGTGTGCTTTCCTCCTCCGGGCATCGTCCCCATCGAGATGGTTTGCGAGGTTTGGCGTCCCCAGAATTCCTCGGTCACGTCCAGGGCGGATAGGAATGGACACGCGTCCATCGTTTTGGGTTGGATTTTGTTTGAGGGTCAACGGTCCAAAAAGTTTCTGAAGTGTTCCACATCCTGCAGCTGCTATGCATTGTCCTTGTCCGCGTTTGAGAGGCAGACGTTGTCCATATCTCACCAAAAGACCCCTCAGAAGAGTCCTTATAGCCTGTCAATCTTTTGAGATAATGTATATGAAAGCATGCCAGTTATATATCCTTTATACATATATGTAATATTACCTGAAGTAAGGAGTGCCTTTGGCTAACAGATAGTATATATATATATATTGACAATATAATAATATATATAGTTTTATGCGTTGTTTCTCCAATCCAAAGGTCGCAGGTTTAGTCCGACTCATGTCATGTGTCTCAAAGACAGAGTCCACCTGTGTCAGTCATTTAATGTCTCACTGAACTGGTGAGGTTATTGGAGGGTTGTTTGGTGAGACGATGCTTGGCAACAATCCTTGAACTGATTTTGGGCAGACGCCATGCTTGGAGCATAGGAGTGTCCACTGGGATAGTTCTGCCATGGCCCCTCAAAATGGACAGGCAGAGATGATGCCTTGGACCATCTCCCCTGATCCTTATCGGCTCTCGCTCGGATCCCCGAGCAGTCCCGTCGCGATTTTTGTCGGCCAGCGTACGGCGTACGGAGTTGATTTGGGTCAACAAAGCCTGGTGAGGAGTCATGGATTCCAGGTCTTTTGGGGTGTTTTCTACTGCTGCTTCCTACTTGGGATAGATTGCATTGCAATGAAAAGGGTGATGTTGGTGCTTGCACACATTTGGTGCCCTACAGTAGACAACGGTCACTGAGATCCATTGGGCTTGCAACCATGTCCTTATAGATCTGACCGGTTTCTTTTGACCCTGTGATTGATGGGTTTGGATGTGACCAGATTACTACTGCCAACAATTGCCCTGTGCATGCTAAGCATGGCCTAGTTCAATCTTGCTATATGACTTGTCAGTTAAGTGTTCTAAATGACCCATGACGCATGAGCTGAATTCTACCAGGTAAGTGCTAGTGAACCCAGGGTTGTCGACGCAGCTTCTCTTAGGAGACAACCGCCACAGAGCAAGGATATGTGACTTCTGGCATGGTCGAATCTAGACGGAGTAAGCATGTGAAGCTCAGAAAAGAGACGCTTGCACACCTGCTTTGCACATGCCTTGCGATCTTGTGACATGTTATTTGGATCTTCATGTACGTACATGGATGTACATGGCTCCAGAACAAATCAACAATCCTCAGAAAATCGTTGAACTCTCCGCAGTCACATGAAGTCACCCACTTGGAACCTCTATTTCCCAAGCACTTAAGAGACTTCAAGAGGCCCAGAGGGTTGCCCCGTTCCCTGCCGGATCGACCATGTCGCCATGGCACGGCCCTGGTTGCTGCTGGCCGGTCTCAGCGCCTTCATGGGCTCCGTGTCGATGGTGCTCTACATGGGCCACCTCACCTTGTGGAGCGGACGGCGCAGCTCTGGACGGCGACTTCGAAGACACCGCTTCTCGCAAAAACGAGCGAGAAGCGTTTGCTGGCGATGCATATCATCGAGCACCTCGGCGTCGCAGTCCGCGGACGGCGGTGGAGCGGTGACGGTGATGGCCTCCTTGAGGAATTCTTAAGGAGGCCATTTAGACCTCCGTGAAATGTGACCCAGAGCTGGTGGACTGCACATGTTGGACCCTTCTTCCGGGCGGATCACAACAACTTTTGCAGATCCAATATCTTCCAAGGTCGTTGAGCCATTTCATGGGTTTCCCAGCGCAATCCAGTCAGGTAACCTGTGGTTTCCATGCGTATAATACAGAGAACCATACGGCTTGAAGCTTGCTTCCGCACTGAACTGCTGCTTCAGCTTTTAGTCCTAGCTCCCAATTCAATCATTGAGCTGCAAACTCAGTCAGATCAGAGCCACTGATATGCACTGAGAATGTGGTCGACCCGCCCTGTTCCAGCGGGGGATGTTGCTTTTTGTTTAGGGTCAAACTAGAAAACTGAGAGATCTTAAGTCAAGACTGCACCACCTAGATAGTTTCCGTAGCTTGTGTTTGAGTTCTTGTCGGGCATTATGGGGCTATATGTTTCACACATCAACAGGATTTGTGCTCATTGTGTCCGTCTTAAGAACGAACATACATGTAAACCGTATACATGTAATGTTGCTAGACCGTCCTGTTTGCTTGACGGATTTTGCAGAATGACACCATGTTCAAGACATCTGAGAGATCTTCGCTTCCGCCCACGACGAAAGCATCCTTTTCAACCCACGACTGAGCTTGGCAATCTATGACTCAGATGCCTATTTGAGAGCCGCTCCAAAAGGAGCCCTACGACCCTACGGTCCCAAGGCAATTCGGTGGCGCTTCCTCCAGTTTGCTGCAGCTCTTGCTCTTGGCCCAGCGCAGCTCACGTCGCGCCGTGCTGCCAGGGGTCGATGCCCGGAGCAACGATGGCTCGGTGTTGAAATCGTTTGACCACCGTGCCTGGGCCGGTAGAGGACGCTACGTGAGGGGCTCCTGGCCGTAGGACGCCGTAACAATGGGCATCGAAACGAACGGAGCTTTTTTGCACGGCGTGAGTCCCATGGAGGGGTGGCGGAGGTTTTGAAGGGGGCGTAAGAGGAAACGACCGGCCTACCCGCAGCCCAACAGAATGGCAATACACAGCATCACCTTTGAGAATGAGTCTATGGGGTTCTTTGGCATGACTAGAGCACCTTTCCTGTTTGGGACGAACTTGGGGATGAGTGGCTGAAGATCCAGCCCAAACACATCACGCACAGCAGATTTCCCTACACTCAAGAGCTTTCAGGGGTCAATTTCAGGGGTCATTGCTTGGCTCAATTTCAGGGGTCATCGCTTGGCTTATGTATGTAACAGTTAAAACAACAGGTGCATACAACATAATATAATACACATATTGATATGATATTATATTCAATATATATATATATATATACGTTCCACACATTGACTCATTGCTTGCTTCCCCACACATCGACTCATTGAAGTCAGCCTGGCGCACCCGTCTGACTCACCAACATGGAAGTGGATGGCATGGTGCCGACAAGAAGGCTACTTTCCTCTACCAACAGGGGGTAACATCCGCATTCCGTGTTCGTTGGAGTGTACTTGAGGTCATGTTGAAGACTTGGACCACTTCTTGGACCTCTCCGCTTTGGCGCCTAAAACCGGCACCGGAAACGGCACCAGAAGCCGTCCACCCATCTCCTTCCGCTCGCACCTGGCAACGTTCGGTGCTCGCTTGGACGCGGTGATGATCTTTGTGAACCCACCAGAAAGGAGGAGCCGAACCGGTCATTTTTGGAGGAAGGAAGGGTGTGTTTTTGTTCGCTGTTTTTTTTTTGTGTGTTGTTTTATATAACAAACTGATTATATATATATATACGATTGAGAAGCATCAGACCAGATAGGGAGGATTGCTTGTTTGTTGTTTTTTTGATAAGGCAGGAGAGCTTCTGTTGGATGTTACATTCATTCATTGTGGTCATAGTTGTGACACAATTATGAGAACAGGTCCTTTTGCTTGCTTGTGATCCTACGTTGCGGTGTTCTTTCTTTATTCAACACGATAGTTCGTTTTTTTAATGGTTTGGTTAAGTACAACTCAGACATACATCATAGACTGCCAGCATGTGTGTGTGTGTTTGTTTTTTGATAGACACATGATGACAAATGACCTACTCAGAAGCCGCATCGAGAGATGCTTATCAGGATATGGGGTGTTACTTTGTGCTTTCAGGTTCCTACTATATATAATTCACTCTGTAATAAACAACTTTTCATTTGACCAGGTTTCCAGGGTTGCTCAAGGTCCGGGAGACTAACGACCTGGATGTGTTTGAAGCGTGGCAGGACCATCCAATGATTGTTTAAATCTACCTTCAACCCTCCAACTGAGGGTCCCTAAATCTCCAGAAAGTCCAAAAATTGTCCCTTTTTTCATGGTCCCAGTGTTGGTGATTTGGTGCTCCAGAGTGCTTTCAAAACCCTCGACCCGGTTTTGGAAGCTCCAGCCATGGAAAACCCACAAATACGTGGACTTTCTGGACCTCCGGTCGCTGTCAGGAAGGGACCATTCAGGAGCGGGTTGTCGATCCGCAAGGTCTCGTGAGGGAGAGTTGCGGTCATGAGAATCAAGACAAGATAGGCTAGTTGTTCATGTCGGAGGCTTCTGTGGCACAAAAGCAGGACAACTTGTGTTTCCTTGTTTGGGATATAATTAGGTTGATCTGTGCAACCGGTGGTCCTCCGCCCCTTGCGGCCTACTGGCCGTAGCGGCGAGGAAAGATCCCGGACTTGTGAGGTGCCCTGGAATGGGGATTGATTCAGATGGAATTCCAAAATGATCACCTTATTTGAGTAGACTTGTACTGGGTCTGGTAGCCTTTTAGAGCACGTGGCGAGCCTCCGCCTCTCCTTTCCTTTCGCAGTAATCTCACAAAGCAGCTGACACAGAAGTTGAATGAAGGGCAGCGACTCGTAGTGAACTGCAGCTGGATTTGGACTGCTTGCTTGCGCCATCCAACGACCCTTGCCTTGGCGAGCCTACAGATCAGATCGACATGGTCTTTGTTGACGGCTTAGTGGGGTACCAAGAGATTTGAGTCAATGGTATATTATATAAGTATATTGTAAACTCTTGATGAATACACTCCCCTATTTGGATTTTCAGACCTCTTCATATATGAGACAGGTTTTTCGCCGTCTACATCAGGCGGCCTACCTCCGTTTCGGTTTGGTGCCTGGCGACTGGAGGAATCAGTCATCTTTAGGCTCAGAGGCTTGCTTAAAAGCACCCGTCCCTTGGTATTCGGTCGATCACCAGATCCCTTTGATGCAAGTATACCACTCCTAGTCTATAAATGAGTTTCACTCGTTCTCTCAATCAGAAGCCTTCCCCCAACCTCAAAGGGCATGAGGAATCCACCAGCTCCACCAGCCCCGAATTCCGTCGCAGAAACCCAGGAATCCGAAGGACCTGTCGGACCGAACTCGACCCGTCGACCCGTCGGTGGAAGGACCCATCAGGTCACTATCCATGACTATCCCAGTTGGCTACCCCACCTTAGGGTCCGGTCCCTTCAGGTCACTTGACCTCTCTGGGCTGCTGACCACCCAAAACATCCATCTCTGAGGACCTGTAGCAAGATCTTCATGGTGGGCCGCTACGATTTTCGAGGACTGGAAACCTGGAGCTTGGCGCCCCATGCGCCGGTGCTGTGCTTCGGACATGACTTTGTGCAGAAGAACAGCTCCGTGGGCGCTTGGCTGGAGAAGAACTTGCAAGAAAAAGCACTGGTGGCCATACTGAACTGGGTGGGGGCCTCCCAGCCTGCATCAGGAATGTACGACTTCTCTTTTAATGTCGTCACTTGTAGTTATCGTTTCAAGGAGCACCCGTTGAATCACGGGCCGAGGTTCGACCCACTCCTTCCTGTGAACCCTTGCGTCTTTGCTCCACCATCTCGGATGCGCGCGGGACCAAGCCCAGCCTGGAGAGTCATATCCGGGAGAATCTGAAGCTGAGCTCCACCGTGCACCGCTACGCTGCACAGTTCTTGGCAGAGCATCAGCGCCTCGGAACAATGGCACGTGCGACGGGTGTGGCTTCAAGGTGCTAGACGGGTGCAGCTGGGGATTGGAGCTATTGCAGCTAGTAGCCTTTGAGTATTAGAAGAGATGGATGACTCTGATGGGTTTAGGATTGGATCAGGGCAGAATCAAAGGAACCAACCGGAACCAAGAATGCCACAGGTCACATTGATTTTTTTGGTGCTCTTCATGTTGTTTCACTGGGACAGCACCGACTCAACCTGGAGGAGGTGGCACAAACTATACATGTACGCAGTACATATAATTGATGCCTCAAGCCATGTACCAACCCAACATATCAAATATATAATATAGATATAGTTATAGATTTATAGAATAACCATACATAATCATATAATATATAGTTATAGAATGTTATAGAAAATAACCATACATGATATATATATATAGCCCAATTCAGCCATTTCCAGTGGGACCAACTCCAAGCAGCGGAGCAGGGACACCAGGTGCCAGGAGCCGCGGTCGCTCCTTCCGCAGCTCGGTCGGGGTGGGCACCACACCCGACGACACGTACTGGGCGCCCCAGCTTACATGGCTTGAAAAGTAAGTGCATGAAGTCCATGCTCGACCTTTGCGAACAAAAGCGGTCATGGGGAGTGGCTCCCAAGTTTGGACAAGCACATGGATGAGCAAATGAGTGAACACAGGTGGCAATAGCCCATAGGTTTTGGAGGTTTAATTATTGGAGGCCGATTGTATATAGGGGATTTGGAGTCATTGGCAAATCCGTCTCCGCTGACTGGTGCAAAGTCAGTTGGATAATTGACTATAAGAAATCAAGGATCTGAAGGCCGGAAGGGGGACTCCTATGTGTTGTTTTCCAAAGTCATCATCAACACTCTCAGGTTGCAGAGCTACAACGCCGTTCAGATGCGCGCGGAAATGGTGCTCCATCATCGATACCTCAGTGCGAGCTGCAACGACAGTGGGGTGTACACCTGGTTTTCATCCTTGAAAGAACTTTTCAGCAACAAGGAAACTTGGTTTCGTGCCAGGGATTTGAAGAAGGGCGGTTCCTCCACTCTGCAGTGGTTTGACAATCAGAGCAGGAATACCCTGATGAGATTGGAGGCCGAGGTATGGCAAAGCTCGCCCGCGACGTTTTTGGACTACGATTGTACATCACTGTCACTTGGCATTGATGCCCTGTCACGTGAGAAAGCAGCATCACTGTACTGTCACTTTTCTGTCCTTTGTGTTGTATCACTGTCACTTGCTTGAGGAGTTGTACACTCTATATACCCTACGAATTAGGTCGCTTAATTTTGGGAGCCCATGCGAGATAGATCATGGATGATCGTATATAAGACTCGGCATGAAGACGCGGGCGGTGTCGGGACATCGGCGTGGTTGGGAGCAAAGGGTTTGGTGGAGAACGCCCCAGCACAGGGCGGCACGGAGCCCACAGCCCAGTAGAGTTTCCGGCACAACTCACCAGTTGAGGGGACTGTGGACGTTTCAGGGAAAAGGTCTGTGGAACTCGCATCAAGCAAAGCAAGTAACATCAAATAACCCATGCAATCAATACTAGGGCTCTCCAAACTTGTTGTTGAAAGTGTCCACAGGTGGAGACACTGGGCATACTTCAGTTTCATTCTGTTAGCAGGGATGCCTTACCATCTCCATGTTCCTGGCAAAGTGGCCGGGGAAGACCCTTCAGATGCTTGGAAATCAACTTTCAGTCTTACCATCTCCATATTGTTGCTGGGTGGGGGGATGGGGGAACACTGTAATAATACCAAGACTTCAAAGTGACCTCTTTGGAGTCTCTAAGTGACCTCTTTAGCAACTAAGTGACCTCAGCCACTGGGATCTCAAGGACGGTCACTGACTGAAGCTCCTGGTATATGTGTTCCATATACCAATATTGTATGTAATTGTATAATGATACCGTATAATGATCATTGTACAATGATACCGTATAATATGATACCGATATCCATGTATGTAATTCTATATCGTATAATGATACCAATTGTATAATATGATACCAAAGGTATACTAATGATACAATATGATACCAATGAAATATCAATGTATATATGAGCCACGGTCAAAACATGCGAAGACCACTTTAGTAAAGAGGGGTAGGTTTGTGCACGAAACCCTGCAAAACGATAAGGTCCACCTCAAAACCGATAACCCCAGCGCTGTATATGATCATAAGTATGCGACGAACTCAAAACACTGTAAAACGATAAGGTCCAACTCAAAACCGATGACGTCCATTTTTTTGTTGAAGAAGAATAAGGAGTTTTGACCGTCCCTCATATATATATGTTTTAATTATCATATGTTCGATACCAATTGGTACAATGATATCCATGTTTTCGGGATGTAAATATGGACCATGTACCGGTCCTTCAGGTCACCCGTGATGTGCCTCTTGGTCGATGTGGCGCCCCTCGGCGCGTGGAAGGATGGTCGGTGTTCGGAGCCATCGCTCAAACGGAGGTCGTATCGTGTCGTATCTAATGTATAAGCCCCTTTTTGGAACCTTTGGACTACTCCATGCAATTAGCTGTACTAGACTAGAATGTACACATTCACCAGCCAACATACGCCATCTATAACCATCTCAAGTGACTTGAGTCGGCCAAAACAACGCAACGGAAACACCAACACCGAAACTGAAGTAAGAAACCCAAATCATCCAAATTGGACAAAATATGTATTGGACATGTTGAAGAAACAAGGTCAATCCCTGCAACTCTTCCAGTTTGGATGGCTGTAGTCCAGTTCGTCTTCCCTTCCTCCAGTTGGTTGATGGGAGGTCGACCTGACCCCACCTTCTCCCACCTCTTCCACAGTGGCGCCAGGCTCCTCTCTGGCGCCGAGCGTCTCGTGCTGCTCGGCGGCTCGGGCGGCGTGGCCGCGCTGGTGCGCACCGAGCGCCTGCGGCGCCGGAAGCCGCTGGAGAGCCGCTCGGCGCGGCACCGGGCGTGCACCGGGCGAGTGGCGGTCGGTTGGTTTGGGGGGGGGGGGGGCAAATGGCGGTGTGTTTGTTAGCTTTTTTGTGAGGGTTGGGGCTGAAAATGCAGAGTTGATAGGCTGAAAGCATCCACGCAAAACACTGGGACGCATGTGGATGAGCTGGTAGTGGTAAGACAAAGTTAAAGTATTTGATCATTTCCAATCCAATGCACTTGCACAACAAAAGGGGGTGCTGTCACTTAGTTATTTCTATGATATAGTATATTATATAACCCAGACACTCAAACCACTCCAATGTAGGCAAATACAGTACATGATCATACATGGAATGTTTGGGGAATGTCCGCAAGCATCAAGAGTAATATGATTTGGGAGAGGTAGGACACTTTGTCCCCCACGCCCATCCGAGGCATCATCCACAGCATGCTGCATTCAGAAGGATGCAGCCCATCCATGCCCAATGGCTGATTGTTTCATGGAATCCCATGAAATACACCACCCTTGTCAACATCACGCTGAACATCCTGACCATCAATGACCAGAAGCTGAGAAGACTTGGCACACATTCAACCGGACTCTACTGAGTAGATGTCCGGATTAGACTGAGTAGACTCCAGTCCGGATTCACCAGGTCTTCTCACTTTCGACCAAAAGCTCCGGCTTCGTTCTCTTGCCTTCTCTCGCCTCCGGCCTTCCTTCGGCCTTCGAAGAGCAGAGAGAGGTTGGGTCCGAGCGGAGAGCCGTTCCGGACTTCCACAGAGATCGAGCGATCTGGAAGAGTCGGAGTCTTTTGAGGTCGAGTCCAGTGGATTGGACCAGGAGTGTGTCAAGGGACAGAGCTTGCAGGTGCAGTTCGTAAGAAGCACACCAAACATTGAAGTCGGCAGGATCATCCAATAGGTGTCCTGGCTGGAGTAGGATAGGCAGGACACCCAGGACACCCAGGACCCAGGTAGGTGTTCATTGCAGGTTTTAGAGGTGTAAGACTTGGACCCTTCAACATGTATTATCGAAACCCACTCACTTCTGATGCCGGCCGCGAGTGTGGAGGTGGATTGAGGTTGGACATACTGTATCGGATGGAACCCCAAATCCATGCAGCAGGGGTCTCATAGATCCGGGCTGGCCCTTTCTTTTCCAAACTGTTTGGGGATGTTTCAGATCTAAAGCGGCGAAACCATACATTTTGAGGATGCAGTTGAATGCAGGTAAACAACACATGTAGCCTTTGTGGAAGTCTTGGTCAAGATTGTCAAGGATTTGACAGCCTCTCCAAGAAGGTTGGATGTGGAAATATAAGAACTTCATAAGTTTGGTATAGACAATTTCACCCGCCTGGCGAGCTCCGTCATGCTAGCTCCCATGCCTCTCAGCAACTTGCGAAACTGGAGCAGTCTTGCAGAGATCCACTCGAACCACTGACCCGTCGACAATGACAGCTTTCCGAGACTGGAAAAGAATTTTGGAGAATCAGAAAAGGCATTATTGCTCGAAAAAAACATGTTGCTATGGAAGACATGATGCTGGTCCTCAACACAGATCGGTCTGAGTCAAATTGTAAGTATATGTCGAGTGACGAGGCATAGTAAATATCACCATTGATCATTGATCTTTATATAATTAAGATACAAAAAGGATCAAAAAGGACTACACTACACAAAGTCTTTGTTTAGAGACGCTTGTAGGGGACGCTTGAGAAACAAGTGATTTTAAAGCTCGCACCCTTGAACATGTGAAAGACCCATGAAGGGCACCATCCCTTGCGGTTTCTGACGGATTCTACTTTTTTTTTGTTTGTGTATCACTGCAGTGGGGCCATGATGTAAACACTGGGACCAACCACGCCAAGTCACAGGGCTATGTGCACTGCGCACGGCTTCTCAGCGATCTCAGCTGCGGTTCGCCCTTGTACCACCAACGGAAACCAACCAGCTGCGTCCTCAGGCCCACCTTGGACTGCCGCGTGCAAATCTTCCGGGCGCGGTGTTTGCACCGCCGAAAGCGCCGATTGGTTCAGACGTCGCCCACAGCAGACCGGAGCGGACAAGTTGTCGACCGCGGGGACAACGGGAAGTCCTGATGGTTTCCGTGATAGGATGGTGATTCATGAGGACATCAACCGCCTTCCTGGGTGCCATCTACTCCGAAATCATTGCGATCACTAAACTAAAAATATATATAGTGCATGAAAGGGACCGCGTCCAGTGGTCGGACACGTCCAAACCAGCCCAGCTGGCATCCCTGTGTGTTGCGCCAAGCAGCACAGTTTTGCATGTGGGACTCGCGAACTTCAGCGAGTTGTGGAAAGACTGGAAAGACTTTCTAAGACCCTTTTTCCATACATGTCCTATCATCATCATCATCATCATCATCATCATCATCATCATCATCATCAT